TGATAAATTATCTGGGAGTTTTCCTGAACAGATAGTTGTTTGCTTAAATATGTGTTATTTGTTGTGATATAATTGGTTTGGTTTTTACAATATAATTCCTCAAAGTCAAATTAGAACTCTGTGCCCCGCCCTGCCCTGTTAGTAAAAAGCATAATGTCACAAGAATGCGAAAAATGTAATATCGTTTATTAAACGCTTTTATTCTAATTATATCAAAATAGTCGTAGCAAAGTAAAACATGATATTTGATATATGAACTACAAATGCAGTAGAAAATGGCATTCTTAAACTAACATAAATGGGCATAAAACAAAATTATGATATTCAAAACTACCCGAGCTCATTGCATTTGCACGATCATGGAATAAAAGTTAAGTTCTATATTAAGACCGAGATAGGTATCGTACATTTTTATCAAGCGAACGAACGCTATTGCAATAATGCGAAGGAAATGCAAAAGGTAATAGCATGTCGCGTTGTGAAATTATTACTTTACGAATTAAATTAGAGTTGTAAATAATCTTTTAACCGGGCGAACGATAAGAGGGCATTTGAAATTGTAATTTCCAGCATGCGATATGCACCGAGAAAATCTCTCAGCACGTTCGATCGGAATGAAATCGTGAAAATCGAAAAACCGAACGATTTGCTGAAATGGTAATAATAATGTATATTTTAAATTGCCTGATCTCTTGATGTACCAATTACAGTAGAAATTAATTTCTTAAAACTTAGAATAATTCATAAAAATTCTTAAGATTTATAAAAAAAAATATTGCAGTATATTAGATGTGGCAAACTGTATGGTAATTTGCCAGTTATGGTAATTTACCAAATAATCTGATAATAGATTATTAATATAATCTTTTTCACTTGGATGTGATTTTAAATAAATTTTATACTTTTAATTATTTCTTTATGAAATTAATAAAGCACCGCGAAAAATTGCATTGAAAAGAATTATTGCACAACCTAAAATAATTCCATCTGGCTACATATCCGGAGTACGAATTTCGAAAACAATTACATCACGTTGTCATCGTTATCTAAATTTGCGCAACCAGTAATTTTATTGAGCGTCCTGTAAGCCCATTAATCAAAATCTATTATAATTTAATAATTGACGGATGACCGTGCATATTAAATATTGTTGATGAATAGATACACTGAGATCTATCAATAATGTTTTGATGTGAATGATTAAGATTAATTAGTACTCATCTTTAAAATAATTTCAATTAATTGAGATAAAATACGTTCATCAAAAAAATATTGCCAACACAAATTTCAACGAACCATTCATGCTTTGGCAATCCATAGAATCTTCATACATCTTTAAAATACAATCAAGTTATAATACGGCCGTGATTAATAATATTTATTCACTCACAGATGTAATCTTTATGGTATTTTAAAGGTGTATTAATTAGTTAACAGATAGAACGATTAATTTTTATCTAGACAGTCAATTACTCATATTCTTCTTAATCCTCTTAAGTGCTCATCTTGGAGTCCGTGACCCTCTAGGGAACCCAAGATTCACAGAACCGCAACGGAGAAAATAAATTATTGTATTTTGTTGATATTCGTGATTACAGCAAATACATCTGTTAAAAGTTTTGAGCTTTAGAAATTACAACTTTTCTTCAATGCTTAAAAAATACCAAAAATCGGACTGTTGGTTCCATTTGGCATATGTTATCCAATTTTCTAATAATGGTTGCCCATTTTGGCTCTGTCATCGCGATATGGATCGCGCCGAAGTAAATAAATTTCCAACAACTTAATACGTCTTGAGTGTATTTTCAAATGTTTTGGTTTAAAATGTTATTTTGATCGTAAGGTATTGATATACATGGTAATGTCCGTAAGTGGTCCGAGCAAAGCAAATCACTAGTATAGGCAAAGCACGGTCATTTCGGCACGCGTCTCTTTGATTATAGGTTTGGTCAGTTTTGCTTCAATAAATCTTTCAAAACGTTTCCCATAGAGTAAATATATTTGCTATATATATGGTAACATATGGTAAGTGGAAGATATCTAATGCTTGATATTTTTTTAATTTAATTACTGCTTTTAAATTGGTTAAAAAACATTGAGCAGATTATAATTTACAAATCAATAAAAATTAAAACAAAGAATGTTTAATTTATAAATAATTTCTAGATAAAAATATAACAATTTATATTGGTAATTATTATAAGTGATAGAGATAAATATGCATAAATAAATATTGAGAATTCTCCTAATGCTGAATAAAGATATTATATAAATAATGCAGAAATATAAATAGTAAATAAATTGAGATTAATAACTAAATACCTTGCACTCTTTTATTCAGATAATAATATTTCTTAATATTGAAACTATTACAAATATAAAAAGCTGAATTAGTCATTAATATCATCGGCAAATGACATGAATTTAGACAAACTAAATTCCTAGCCGTATTTTTAAATTAAAGATTTTAATTAAAACATTTTTTTCATACGTGAACATGAATAATATTTGTCAGCAAATTAATAAAGATGAGTTGAATTTATTGAAACCAAGCAATTCTTTATTTTTTGTTTACTTTTCTTATTTAAATTATATTTTAATGTCGCGTCGGTCAATTAAGTATTATAAGCCTTCTTTTTATGTTACAAGAATCCGGATTAAAATATTAGTTTAAAAACACCTGTCAAATTTGTCAAATGCTCCATTTACTTTGTCATGTATATCGGACACGTTATTATTTCGAATATATTAATAAATTATTTTGAAGCTTTGAAATTATATGATCATTAGTAAAATTATCAATTGTATATAGATCATTATAGTAAAAGGCGGAATTAAATTATGTAAAGTATATAATAATCAATTCTATATACTGGTACTTACATGAGGGACTAATATAGACAGCCAATAATTTTTAAACAAGTTTTTATATTGATAACATTGATTGCAGTAAATTTATATAAGTCAATAAATAATTTTGCGAATAGAAATAAATAAATAAATTAATACATTTAATTTAATTTTAGATGAAAGGTTAAATGAAATTTCAAGTTCGTTCGTTTATTTGCATTACTAACCGTGAGAATAAATAAGCAATATTTATTGTGAAAAAAATAAGAGTGTAGAATATACGAGTTTTCAATATTTAGAACTGAAATATAAATAAAGTGGCAACAAAATTATAAAAATCAATTTAAAATACAGAAATATATATAGGTACAATAATTATGATAAAGAATAAAAAATGGTTATTCATCATAAATTAAAACAACAATGCAAGGAAAAAAACATACAAATCCATAATAGGAATTCCATATATTAAAAACAGCAGATAAAAATCTACATAAAATTGCTTTCAATATCAATTAAGTGATCAAGTGATCAAGTGACCTCTTATCGTCGATTTCAATCGATGCAGCGAGTTATAATAAACTAATATAATTATGAATATCAAATATACTTTTACGCGGTAGCTGAATAGATTTTTTATTATATCCATTATACTCAAATAAAAAGACCACTGAGGATGCGATTTCGGCTAAGTGATCATGACATTGACGACTTAGTTCACGGACCGAAGACTTATAATAAAGATATCTCAGAAAGATAGATAATTTAATATAATATGAAAAAGAATGAGCAGATTTGTTTTTAACCGGAAGAAAAGAGTTTTTAATTAGGACTAAATTGTAGAGCGTATGAAATTAATCTCAGATAAATAAATGATTGATTTCAGATAATTAATTAGTTAGTTTATATGCTGCCTATTAGGCATACTTTCTTAAATAAATTTTAGTAGGTTTGTTAAAAAAATTTAGATATTCAACTTAATATTAAATAAATATTATTATCCGCCATACCAAATAATAAATATACAGAGTTATCATCTTCTGATTTTATATTTTCTTCTAAAACATGTCTCTGCCATATTGACACATTAGATTGGCAGAAAAATACTAAGCATTTGCAGTAAGTATCTAAACCTTTCGAGCACTGCTCTATCACCATGTTGCATGTCAATCGAAGTAAGGTGACAATTCTGGCATTTTTACAATAATAGCGACAATTGGCCCATAATAAAGTTGTACAATGGAGCAAAGGTTTTATAAGAGGTCCAGAATCCGCAAACGGTGTTGCTTCGAATTTCTCGTAATGTGGGCGCATAGGATTAAGGTAGATGCATATTTCTCGTGCTTCTCATATTATCGAGTTAATTTTAGAATTGTCCAACTATAGTTACCGTGTGAATCCAAACCCGTATTTAATACAGAATAAATAACAGCAATAATTACAAAACAATTTGACTTAATAAAAACTTGAATCCCGCATATTGCTTTTCAAACCAGTCCTAACCATTATTATTTTTTGAAATTATTCCTAAGAAGTAGATACTAATTAGACACTGTATTTATCAATAAGTGATAAATGGTTTTTGTAAATTTAATTTGTGGGAATACATCGAACACATTTTAGTTTCGCACATTTTCTTTCCATTAACTTCCGGGAAGTGATAAATGTGAAACAACAATTTATACGGAGTTTATTACAAAAAACTAAATGATGTATGGATTGAATAATTATATAAAATATAATATTGAAATTTTAAAGTCAATTCTTCTGAATATAATTTTATATAATCTTATATTTAGTAACTATTAAATCTGTTAAGATAATGACTAACTGATTCTTTAGGTATTTTCGTATTATCTTATCTTTTCCTTGTAGCCATTAATAAGATCGCGAAAGCACATTGCGAAACATAGAGGCTTATTACTTGACGTGGATGCTTAAATTATGATAATCTGACTACTCTTATAAACGAAGTTAAATCAAATTTTGGATATAACAACCAAATTGAAAATAAAATGACTCAATTCTTTCTTCTAATTGAAACTGTTACTGCCCACAAAGTAGTATTTGTTATTATCATATTAAAGTGTGTGTTAAATTATCATTTGTCATTTTCATATTATTTGTTCCTTTATGTTATACTGACTTACCGCCGGAATCACTACGATCGTTATTTAGAGAGTTGGCTGTCCTTCCTGAAAGTCCTAGAATAGCGTCTATCGTATGCCGCGGTCCACTAGGAGCACTCCCGCTACCCGGACTTCGCGACGGCTTTATCTCGAGGCCGCCGGAGCCGCCGTTTCCAGTCGCGGTGACCGATGTTGCATACGCCCCACATCCTCCGGATTGAATTAAGCGCGCTGAATGCATGAGCTTTTCTGTAGCTAGTACTGCTTCTTCTTCCATAGTGAATTAATAGATAATATATATTTGAAGCAACACTTATGGCAATGATGAATTATGTAGAATTCAAAACACTGCTTCAAAATGTGTTTATGGCAAAGCGGTTTCAGTATGAGCATTTAAACATTGCTCATAATTTTTTGAAATTATATATGATTATTCTTGAGTTTATACAGATTTTCACAAATTTTCACCTATGAATTGTATTATTTTACAGTCATTAATTAAGCACTACAACTTATTTATTATGTAGTCCTCATTTTAATTATTTGATGCATAAATTGTGTGTTATTTTTAATTTTGATAATAATTGGTTTGGTTGTATTTAATTTTGTGCAATGCTTCAACTTCAATTCTTAAATTTTATAAATCACACATTCTAACAATTTAATAATAACCCACGGATTTTTTTTCAATTTGTCTCTAAAGCACTGTATATTATTTATCACAACACATTAACATCTTCTGAACACTTTTTAACAAAATTATGTTAATTGTATATCAATACAAGTTACAATGTGCTTTGTAATATTGTTGATAATTGTTTTTGATCACAATAGAGTATGGTGCACAAACTGTTCGTTTTTAAGGGTGTTTTATTAAATGCGTTATAGTTCAATTACCATCATTTATATTGTTTATCGAAAGTTCGTTTCCGCGTACTCACGATACAATGCCCGTGCGTGTTCTGCGAGCGCGTGTATTGTTCGACTACGAAATAACCTGTCTACCGCCGAGCGCGGTCGAGCAACGCTACGGTCTAAACTCGCCTGGCGCGGCTTCGCGGAGGGGTAATTTTCCCCGACAAGGCGGTGCCAGCCCACACCCCTGTGCCGATTCTCGTTTATGGGAGGTGACGGGTTCCGGACTTTCGATCAGAGCTCGACCCACCTTGTTAAACTTCATCTTCGAACTAAGCCGGTCGGATTATCGAAGAGATTATAGAATAAACACGAACGCACAGGCCGGATCTGTATGGCAGGATTTGAACGTGAGTTTTAAACCTATATTAATGATGTAAGTAAGTGGATTTAGCTCCAGTTGTCTTTTATATATTTTCATGTTTTATGTCCTTAATTTAATTAATTTCTCCATATTAATATAAAATTTAATTTTGGGGAATTCCAACTAATCACAAGAAAATGTTCATAGTTGCAAGAAATAGATTAAGTAGCACATTTTGGTTGCATAAACCTATTATAGTAACAAATTGAGGTTTTGCAACTAAATGCTCTAATTAAAATGAGAAGTGGAAGTAATATATTTTATAAATTAAGGACGTTAATTTTTTTTATATTATAGCAAAATTACTGGACAGTAATAAGGAAATAGTACTTGCTATGAGGATAATGCATTTTAGCATATAACCTTATATTAAATTTTATAAAACTACATATATAGCGGCAAACGTAGAAAATTTTTGGACAATCGTTTATTAAAAATAACTTGTTTTGAAGTTAAATTTAAACTTTTCCACAAGTTCAACAAAATCTGAATCAAAATTTGGGGAAAAACACATATAGAATGAAAGAATAATAAAAAATTATGCAATTATTATGAAATAGGAGTTTGTGATAAAAGGGAGACAATTTAAGGTTTTGTGTGTCTTTTTTGTACAAATTATAAAACATTAAGATAAAACAAATAAATGGAAAAAAGAAAAAAATAAAATAATAGAAATTAGTCAAAAAAATAAAAATAAAATCTTAAGGCTGGACAACCCTAGTACTTTGGCGTATAAAAAATAGATATCACTTGAATATTTTCGATTCTCATAAAACTTGGTCAAAATGTTCCGGAGGAGTATTGCCACTAATATCATGATATATATATATATATATATATATATATCTTGATATTGTTTATTTCGACTGTGAAACATTATATGATAAGATTTTTCAGGTTTTTTACTCTGTATGTATTTTAGCTGAATGATGAGCTAGCAGAATAGCTCGAAACGTATTAAAAAGATTTATATTTACGTTCTGTTTTTATTTTTTCGACTTGTGGCTGAAAAACCTTATCATATATATATATATATATATATATATATATATATTTATTTATAACACAGATATATACATATAAGTTTGTGTGCTTAATGTGTGTGCCCGTACTCAATCAAAGTTCATATTACTATGACCAAATATGCAGCACACACAAATAGGCAAACTAAACCAAACTTCTATAACAGTTTGTAATTTCAGTAGCAGAACGGCATTAAATCATCAATCAAATTTTTCGTCACCTTTGAGGAATCTGTGGTCGGTCTGATATTATTTCATACTTTATTAAATAACCGGGCGTGTCAACGGGCGGGACTCTAGTCCGGAGATCGTCCAATGGTATCACAAGAACTATCCGCGCGGAGTAACCCCTCGGACTGATGATGGCAGCGAGGCGCTGGGATGCTGCGTGGACCGGTTTGGAATCGACGCTCTTAACGCGTGGAAACGGGACAGAACAGAAGCAGACAACTTGTACAGGTATTGTGTTAGTATTACCTACCTACAGCTAATGCCTACCTAACGGTGACTACCTTCGTTTGGTGTGTGTTGTTAGCAAGGTTTAATGTTATTTCATGTAATGGTAAAATGAGAAAATTAAATTAATGTACTCTGTACACGGGTTGCGCGCATGTGTGAGCGCCGAGTGCGACGGCTGCCGGTTTATGCGCCCGAATGATCTTGTGTTCCCGCATATATATCGTTTAGTTTGTTTGCACTCGTGCAAATTGGATTCTGAAATCATTGCTGATTTATATTGCGGAAAATCTCATCTATATAGATGTTTCATTACACACACAGAAGCTATCATATTCTCAATGAAATAAAATACAGAAATAGTTATGAAACGGATATTAACTAATTACTTCAATTATAATAAATTTATAAATTTGTGCGTCTGATTATCTAAACTTAGTATAATTAACAGTTGTAGCCAAGTTGTTGAAAATGCTTGAAAAGTTTGGGCTCTTATAGACCACCATATACCGTCTCCTGAATATAATGAATATTCGAATTACAAAAAAACTTAATCAAGAGGAGTTAGAATGAAAGACATACCACATATTTCTAAGAATTATATAAACTGAATTGCAAAGTTAAAATTATTTATTTCAATTATATAAGTGAGCTTTAAAGTTTTCGCTAGAATTAAAATTAAAATTCAGAACATTTTCGATATTTAGAAATTTCGAAAAATATATGTTTTGAAGATTAAAAAAAAATAATAATAATAATTCGGTAATCATTTTTTTTTTGCCTTTTCTAAAAACTGATTGATTTTTCGCACTGTCAACACAGAGCGATGATTTTTGGATCATCGCTTCGTTCTCTCAAAAACTGTTATTTTAAGCACTTTTAGCCAAAAAACTAATCATCACGTCTCTCCAGCATTACTTATTGAATGTTTTTTAATCATTTAAATTGGATACTCCTGTTCCCTCAAAAACTTAAATTCTATTTTCTGCACTTTTTGCTCCGTATTTACAAAACTGCTGGACCTACTTCTGTTAAAAACTAATCCGTCAGTCTGTCAAAAACTAATCAATCTTCCCATCAGAGGAAATCGAATGTTTTTGAATAATTCAAAAGGTCAAAAAAAAAAAAATTACCCACACAAAACACACACACATCCATTTTTAGTAAAGAACGCCAAAATGTTCAGAAACTCTGAAACGTAAGGATATACAAAATATTCTATTTTTGGTTTTTAAACGATTACTATAACTTACCTCAAGGGTAGTTAATAAACGACAATTCTACGTTTATAAATTTAATCAAAATCTTGAACATTATGTTAAATATGAAATATATTTTATAAATTGCCTGACTTGAACAGTTATAAAATAATATTGAAGCAAGCAATATATGACAATTTTGTTACTTTTATTCTACAACAAGAACTCTGCAAATTACCATTGCACGTGGGCATATTACGTCGATATTTCTGCAGAAGGCGACGCCAGTTTTCTTATTACCGACTTATTATGCCCTCGAGCCCTTTGGACGCAATCGCTTTCGAGATACAATCATCTACCGTAGACAGTGTTAACAATTTTTATCTAGTCTTAATAATTAGATTCCATTAATGCAATGATCATTGGATGAAGATGTGCTGTGAGCATTGAAAAAATGTCGAAATAATGAGTTAATTCCGCTGATCGAGACGAGTAATAAGCTCATAGCGATATAAATAAAGGGTTGGAAGTAAAACGAAAAGCAAAGAAATAATGCAATCAGAATGATTGAGCGCAATCGAGAGGCTCGAAGAAAATTCAATTATAAACTCTGAGAAATTGGTGAATGATGAAGAGAAAGCGGTTCGTGCCGATGAAAAAACTCTTTTCTTTTTCAATATTAGGTGAAAGGTATCGCTGTAAATATTTTCTAGAATTTTAATGGTTTTGTTGTAAGTAGAACAATATTTATAAAAATATAAGAATAAATGTGTATTTATTTTATAAATATATACAAATATATATGGGTGATCCACGGATTCGCATAAACGAGATCAAGGTCATGAGTTCGAACCCCGCTTTTGACAACCTGACATCGTGCAGCAGCGAGGCCCATTTTTATTTGGAAACATATCAAAAATAAGTTTCCAATTTCGGGACTGCAGTGTGACATGACAATGGAAAATGTGTCACATTATTTTTCGTGTTGTAGTTTAACTCAGTTAAACTTCTGAAACGAGTTGTAGTTCAACTCAGCTCAAGGAGAGCCCTAGGACAGTACTACTTATTATTTTTTTCATTATAGGTATATATATATATATATTTAATATATATATATATATATATATATATATATATATATATATATATATATATATACTCGTATACCAATATTATTTTAAGTCATAATTTGATAAAATATACAATTCGTATAAATATAAAGGATATATAGGCTATATATCCTTTATATTTATACAGAATGTGTATTTTATTATATTATGACCTTTATTATTCGGAAACATTTCAGCATAAATAATTCCATTACCATAACCTATTGAAACGATGATTAAATATCTTCATAGATTGAGTAATATTGAATATAACAAGCCCGATAATAGGAGTAGCATTCATTACATTATATATAACAACAATATAGAATCTCATTACCCATCATGAACTGCATTTGACACATGACATGCTATATCACAAAGGATGGATCATTACCTCTATTATCCTATCTATAAAATTTCTGTAGGTTGCCAATGTAATGAGGAAATATTGAACTTTATCAAAGTGATTATAAATATTGTACAAATTTTGTATAATGTATATAATAAAAACACAAATCATAAAAAAGTTTAAAATGTTATTAAAATAAAATTAGATTTTGTGCATTTATTGACATTAATAACATAATAATTTACTTCCATTATTCGAATAAGAAGTAAAAATTAAAATATGAGGTAATTAATTTTTAAACGAAAATCAGTACATGATTTAGTCATCATATGTCTTTTTTAATTAAATTTCAATATAATCAGAATATTTATTTCAACACCAATATATACATAATGATGGCAAAATAAAATTCGATTCATTTGCAATAATACTGCAATGTTTATCACAGTAATCTTTTATATATGAGATGAATTATTGATAGTAATTTGAATCAAAGAGTTCAAATATTCATTAATTTATAAATTAAAATGAGTCTATGATCAGATGACATTTCAGTAAGATGTAATTGATATCTGTTCATGTCAAAGATTTAAAAATGATTTAGTAACAATTAATAAAATGCAGAGGTAAATATAGTTGCTTATGTAGGTAAAATACTTGATCAATTTATTATTGAAAAATTTTGAGTCAAACGAAAATGTACATCATTTCTGCTAGTACATTTTACTCGCAATCAATTCAAATATTTCTCTCTTGCACATTGAAGTTTGTGCTTATAACAAACATTTGAATTGATTGCTGGTAAAATGTACCAGCAAAAAGCATGTCTTTATTCGGGTTTTTTTTTTACTCAAGGGAGGTGTCGGAAACACCCTGTATATATACCTAAAGTGGATGCTTTAATACAATTTTTTTATAATATAATTGTATCGAAATTCATGTCCTGTACTCGCGTAATTGCGATTCCACAAAAACTGCAGATATCATTTTTAAGGTAAATAAATAATATAAGATGCAAATATTAAAAATAAATATTAAGAATATTCATATCGTTTTTTATTTTACATATGTGGTGAATATTACCACACCATAGTGGTTACCTTAAACTTCGGCGTTGCCTTTAGTTTGCACTCAATGATCGAGGGTTAATTAATGTCATTGGCACACGGCAAAGGGCGAAGGTAAAGGAACGACGCGTCGTGCCGGCTTGTTTGGTGTTCATTCCAACAGATATCAAACGTAATGACTTGCTACTGATTTCAATATAGTTGCGATTATATTGTTAGTGAAACTCAGGCACGACACGATATATTGAATCCTCAAACAAAATACATGGCATGGCAAGCACACTTTACAAAGGGATGTTAGAGAAATTAGTTAATGCCATTGTGATAGTTCTCTTAATTAAATGCCTGATTATTGTACCTTAAAGACAATTTGATATATTACGTACAACTATTATCATTTGCGGTGCTTTCATCTCGTGATGTGTATGATTTTCAGAAGTGTTCTGTGTAATGCTTAAATGTCAAAATTAAATGCTTAACATACTATCAATAACAATATATTATATTTTTGTGCCTTGAATTTATAGGATATAAGAATTTCTTTCCACTAAATTATTCTATGTTTAATGATTTGAACTGCTAAATGATAATTTATATATATATATACATATATATATATATATATATATATATGTATATATAAATATAAATTAATCAAAATTATATAAATAATAAAAATAAAAAATATAAAAAGTTATATAAATATATTAATCACCATAATATATACAATTTCAATACAAATTCAAACGCAATTTGTTGCTGAAATATTTAATCGGCAAATGCTTTGAATTGAAGAAAAAAATAGAAGCAATTATTTATTTATACTTTTCAACACTTGATATGTGTGAACCTACAAGGAAAATTCTCAAAATATAAAAATGACAGAAACACAAAATTATGTGGCAATGATTTAAGAGTTTCTCTTCCTGAATGAACGCATATCAAGTGTCGACACGCATTAAAAATAATTGTTTTTGTTTATCAATTAGACGCATTAGCCATTTAATTATTACGAATATATTTCAATGTATATAAACAAATTTCAGAAAAAGATCCTAACAAAGGTCTCATCAAGAATGAACTAATATTTATCTATCCTCAATAACATTTCAATAAGATGGAGTTAAAAATATTATATCAAGCACTTACTTATTAGTTTTTGATTCATATTTATTAATAAGCACATAAAAAAGGTTTTATGTTGGTTTTAACATTTGCAAAACCTAGTTAAACTTTTAATTGTTGCCAGCTTTCAATTTGTGTTTACAGAAGCATTAGT